ATCTTGAGAGGGTGTTGGTCAGCAGTAGGCACTGCTGCCCTGTTTCAGTACATCGTACCATTTATACCCAGCCCTAGACGCCGACTTGCCCGTATCCCATCCACGAACACATTTTCACTAACACCATGCCCTATCACGAGGTACGCCCCCTCGCTGCCGCCTCAGGATCGTCTGTGGTACCCTGAGTTGCTTCGACTTTGAGCTGGTGATCGGATGCGGCACGGCCCTTACTCCCTTGCACATCCTCGACCACCTCCTCGCCACTTGGTCCGCTTGTCTTGACGCCTTTCATAGAATCGTCGTCTCTCGCCTCCTCTTCTGACTGGCCTGCATCCTGACTTTTGATGCTGCTTGCCTTACTGACACTAGCACTCTCCGGATCTTCCGTTCGGAGACCCAGGTGCTTCTGGGCCTCGGGGTCCTCCTCATTGTTCCCTTTCCAGTCTGCTGCTTGCATCTGAGGTACTGGTTCGCCCTCACCTGGCTCCGTGATGACCACCTTGCCATCCTCCACAGCCGCACCTTCAACACCCTTTTCTCCAGCGCCCACCGCTCTCCAGACTATGCTGATCCGGTCGGCGGCACGAGTCCCTTTGCGGCTGCTTCCCTTGATGCCGTCCATCCTCTCCCATTCGATCTCAAAGACGCCAGAATCATCAGCCTTGCCATCTTGTTCCGGACCATTGCCCTCGAAATACGTGTTGAACCAGACATGCGCGACGGCCGTCACCATGGTCAAGCCCATCGATGCACGTGCTCGATTCCTTCTCTCCACGCAAATGTTAATGTCGCTGTTCGGGATACGGATGGGCTGTTCGGGCTTGAAGATGACGGCCATGCCGCCGGGTTCGTTCTGGTCGGCAAAGGTAGCAGAGTGTGACAGAGAGGACTGCGACTGTGTCTTTGGGTCGGATAGGCTAAGATTTGACGCATCAGGCGGTGACGATGTTGCCGACGATGGCGAGGATGTGGCCGCATCGGCTGCATCGATGGTCTTACTTTTCCTGTCGCCGAGCTTCTTGAGGCTGCTACTTGAGCCGGACTTGGATGCTCTTCGAATGAGACTTGTCCGAGATCCTTTGAGTGACTTTGACTTGCTCCTAGCTGGGAGTGAGGTCGTACTCTTGGGACTTGAAGCGCCGGAACCGCCCGTGTCGGTGATCTGCCCAAAGTCTGCCTCCTCAACGATCTCGTCGTCATCTTTGGTTGGGCTCAGCGCATCACCAAGAAAGTCCATCATGCCGCCTCCACCGGGAGCTTCCCCCTCGATGATGAGCCGTTCCTCCTTTTTGAACGTATGAAAGACCTTGATCTTCTTTCCCTCATCGACAAAGCCCTCGACGCTGACCTTGACGCCGTGTCGCAACCCCCAGGCATGCACCTCGAGTATCTCGATCTCACGGTCCACATACTTCTTCCCGCCCCTCGTCCACCTGTCAACGTAGCTGATCCAGCGAAGCTGGGACGGGATGGAGACGCCGGCGCCGAACTTGGGCCGCATTCGCCGCTCGGTGAATCGTGCCAGGGCATCCTCGGGCGACCATCCGCACTCGGAGATCAGATAGCTAGTCGCCATGCTGCCCGACCGGCCCTTGCCTGCCTTGCAGTGGACCACCACAACACGCTTCCCACTGTCGACGCCGGCAACTGCCTTCAACCTCTCCTTCCAATTCTTGTCCTTATCTTTGTCGGCTTCTCCGTCTTGCTTCGTGGCGTGGCCATCTTTCTCCTCCGTCACCACGCCGCCATCCAGCTCTCCACCGCCAAGCCAGTTGCGCATGCTGGCCATGATCATCGGCACGAGCCGGAAGGGCGGCGGGTGGTGGTCCGGCCATGGGTAGTGGCGTATTCGTCCGTAGACAGCTTCGTCGGGGTATCCTGTTCCCTCGGCGCGGAATTCCCAAATGGCCCAGTTTTCGCCGTGCTTGGCGTCGAGGAAGGCAACGAGCCGATCGAGAGGATTTCGGTAGGCGCGCTGGGGGTAAGTCTGGGAGGGGCCGGATCTGTAATACGACGATGATTAGCTTGAGAATAGTTCACGGGGAGACGTGATCTAAGTCTTAGTCTAACATACGTCGCGATGATGTTGTCCGTGACATAGCACAGGTCCAAGCCCGTCTCAGCATGTTTGGCTCGAGGCCCGGCGACAATCTGCCGCAATAAAGATGTCATGACGGACACCGGATTGCAGACACGGAGCTGCTCGGATGCATTTGTACGTGGAGGACTTCAGAGAGGGGTGCCAAGAAGACAGGATACTGCATGGATGTATCTATAGTGTATCAATCATTGCAGACACATAATAAGCCGGATGCACCGCTTGCATGTAGTTGAATTGGAGGCCGTAGAGGCATGCAAGGCTTGTTACGACCCAACCATGAGACGGCTAAGGCTGGACGATCTGCGAGGGAGAGAGCCGCTGGGCAGAATGACGGCTAGGTACCTAGGTACTCCCTTATTCGATTGACGACGTCATGAGGGGCGCAAGCAAGCTGAGCTACTCATCGGCTGATTCGGTGGAGAAGCTGGTATCTTTACGCTGCTGACAGCTTACAGTCCATCTCCCAAGCATTCATACTGACCTATCAATACAAGTAATCTATTTGGAATTTCTCTCTAGAAGTCGTGCTGGTTTCGGCTTTACTTGTGTAGACGAGCTTTTGAGTTTTTGGCTCGTCGACTCTCTTTGCTGGACGTGTGTTTTGTGACTGAAGAGGTAGGTAGGTCCGCCTCAGTTCTTCGCCTCTAAACGCGATTTGAATCTTCACACTTTGGCGGTGATATGTCAGGAAGGTCAAGCATGCATTGGCCGCCTACTAGCAGCGTAGACAAATGCAGCGATCATTTCAGAGGAGCTTAGATTAGGATCAAATCACTAGACGTACTGCATAGTAGGGAATAGCCCTGGGATCTCGGCCCCTGACGGTATTGATGACTTATCTATTGATTGTCTGTCATTCTCAAGCGCAGTGCAGAGGAAAATTCCCATCATGAGCAACAAGGATGATAAAACGGAGCTTAATCAATCGCAAAGACTACAACCAAAAAAAAAAGCCAGTTGAGAGAGGCCAGACCTGCCTCAGATTTGTTCCGTAAACTCCTCCACCCTCTTAGGCAGACGAAAAAGCCGAGAGTAAAAGCCCCATCCATCACGTCGGATATAGCAGAAACCAGTCTCGCCATGCTCGCTGCATCCATCCCCTACATCGTTCCAACAGCATGCGTCCCCACCAGTTGCCCAACCACTGATATCTCCTTATACAATAGTATATGTCCTATCTCATCCCTTCTTTTCGTTACATCAGCTTCGCGTGCGCGCCTCTTGGCTGCATGGGCGCCCATGTGCAATTTGAAATGTTCAAGAGCCAGCTGCGCATGTTGTCGTCGTGGCACGGGAGCTCGATGAGGCACGGGCTCTATGCGAGAGAGAAGTTCGCGTGGCGGCTCATTACGAGGTCTTCTTCGGGACAGCAGCGCCGTTCAGATGCTTGTTAACATCCGTAGCCGAGTGGAACTGTCGGGCACCACCCTTGACACCCTCCCAGACCTGACGGGCGACCGGCGGGGTGCCCTGCGCACCGACCAGATTGTCGACCTTGGCCTCGAGCAGGCTGAAGCTCTGCTGGACGTGGCTGCTCTGGGCGAAACGAGCGCGGACGAAGGTGGTGTAGATGGCGAGCAGGATCCAGCTGCGGCGCTGGAAGAAGATGGCGGCCAGGAGCAGGCGGATCCAGAGCAAGATCTCGAGACCAGAGACAACCAGCATGGATGTATCGTAGTACTCCTTGACGAAGCTGCCAATGGCATCCGCAATGGGGTGAGGAGCGAACTGAGGCTTGCCGCTCGGTGATGCGCCAGTAGCAGGAGTGATCTGCTTGGGAGGGATGATGGTCGGGATCAGGTTGGAGCGGGTGTATGTAGCGAAGTGGAAGATGGAGTAGATGCCGTAGGGGAGCATGGCGAGAGGATACTGGGGGGAGAAGAGCCAGACAAGGGCCATGACTGCAGCGAGGTCAGTAAAGCCAGCAGGGACAGAGGTCAGCATAGCTCGGAACATACGCAGGTACTGGACATTCTCGTCAAAGATCAGGGACGTAGCACTGGCCTGCAGCTTGGCACCGGCCTTGGAACGGGCGCGCAGGGTCTTGTAGACGACGATGCCATATGTGACGGCAGCGGCGATGAAGGTCAGGCGGTAGGAGAACTGGGCGGTGCGGGAGTAGTAATTCATTCGGATCCACGAGAAGGAGTAGCGGATAACCGACAGGATAAGCGTCAGGTGTCTGTGAGGCAGCTGTTAGCATTCAAGTCCCCGTCGTCGCCATTCTCGGGACAAGATCATGCCCATTGCGGCAGGCAGGCCTCTCTGTCGCCTCCTTGAGCAGTGTGTCTGTCATATGTGATGTGGCCTTTTCCGGTGGACCCCAGCATGCATCCGTCGGGAGGATGGCCGGAGCTTGGCCAGAGCACACGGGCGAGAAAAGAGGCTCAAAGGAAAAAGACATACCCAATGAACCAAGCAACTGTATTGACCGAGGGTTAGCTGGCGCAAGAAAAGCATTTGGAGCTGTCTGGGCAGGGGTGGGATCGTACACTGGAGAGTCTTGGCCAGAGTCATGATGCGCTCCGGCAGAGGCATAGTTGCAGGCGGCGGGGGAGCCATTGCGTGAGCGGCGACGGCGGTGGATGCTGCAAAAGGCTGGGCGATAGAGAGAATAGGATGCGCTGGAGCTCTGATTGCTGCTGCTACTGCTGCTGGTGATGATGCAGAAGCTGTAGTTTCGCGAAGTCGAGTCAAGTCAGATCAGATCTTCTAGGTGGAATGGGTGAGGAGGAAAATATGGTAGAGTTCAGTTTGAGGCGGAGGGAGACGAGAGGGAAGTTGGATAGGTGGCTGGTGACGAAAAGAGAATCGGCCAGTTTAGTGATGATTTTCTGCTGCTTGGTGCTTGCTGGGGAGGGTCGGTGCGTCACCGACAGGGATCAGATCAGCGCCGGATGCCCGCCCAGGGTTCGCTCCTCTACCCACTGTTCAGCTGAGCCAATCCGCATGTAAAGGACACTACGCCTTGGCTAAATTGACTAGCAAACTACATACTGGCTCCAGTGAGTCTAACAGCAAGCCACACCACCCTTCAAGAATCCCAGAATCCAATCCCGCAATCAAAGCATCTACTGCACAGTACAGTATCTACGAGTCGTTGCCTGAGTGCGTGTCGTGTTTGGTTGTAGCATTCTGCCTTAGGTAAGGTAATATACATAAGGAAGGGTCCTCACACCTACCGGGTGGCCTATGTCCTACTTCCTATCCAAATGCCGGGTTCCTTGTATCCAGCTGTACATGCAACATAATGACTCCAATAACCAATCCTTGAGACGTGTCTTCTCACCTACCTTCTCGACTACCTTACCTACTTGCTCTTTGCGACTTCCCTGCCGCAGTAGAGAGTGGACTAAGTGCACATTGCTTGCTGTTTCGCAGTGATGTATGATGAATAGGCGGCCGGGCGACCCATCGGCTTCCAGGCCATTTCTCGATGCACCCACAGGCGCCTTTCGTCATACTGCGCAGTAGTAGTGCCCGCATCGTCATCATCCCGCCCAGCTTTGGACCCCACCACAGCACCACAGGCTCTTCAGCACCACCAAGCCTGTATTGTGTATGTAGATATGTATGTATGTGCGTATGTAGGGAGTAAGTATGCATGTACAGTACAATCCGCCTTCACATGCAAGCACTCCTAACCAAATGTGGCCGACATTCCAAGATCTGCAGTTACAGCAAGAATATCCGGTGCATCTTCAAAGTCAACCCTCCTGGAGGCACAAAGTTGCTGCCGCTCAACATAACATAGGGCATTGAAATCGCCTATGAATATGGCCAGACCTTCATGCTGGCGGTCCCTGCTCCAATAATCGCTACACCATTGTCCCCTAACCAGTCAACACTAGTGACAGTACTCGTAAACAATGCCCTTATCGTGAGGGGGACGGCTGTTCTGGCTTGCACTTCCGCACGTACTCAATGATCGGAACTGTTTGCGTCGTCTCCTCCACAGTAAGGTCCTACCTTCAAGGAGTACAAGGCCTAAATCAATGCCTAGAAACGACCCGGCAATCTGTTCGGATGATTAGAAACTCCTAAAATGAAGGACTCTTGATTTGTAGTGCAGAAGTGGCTGTTGTAGCCATGCATAACCCTGGAGTAGTATCGCCGTCCGCGTCCGTGGGAGCAGCTGGCCCGTTTTCAACTATTCAAGTTCTCGCACCCAACCTTGGAACCCCTTTCAATGCCGGTATCAGAGAGTGAGCGACAGGAGAATACCTACCTCCCTCATCAGCGACTACCTTTGGGCTGACAAGGGTGTTAGCATCGTCAGGCGTATCGGTACGCCTTTTGGCATTACCGAATTTCTGACAGCGCGAGCGCGCAGCCGAAGGAATGCTAGCGGTGGAAAGGCTGGTGAGCTTACCACATCCACTACCTCCGAAGAAAACAAGCCCTCAAAGTGCTAGCCCCTCGAAACTCTTTCACGTAACTTTCGTGCCGGGAAGTCTCTGCGTATGAAATAGCTGACAGTTACCATCCTTTTCTCCGTGCCTGCTCCGTTCCGTGATTTGCCAAGAAACGGCGCTACATCAGCACTGCTGGACATAGATCGCCGGCAATCCCGAGAAGATGCGGCATGTCAGCAAGTGCTCGTTAGGTGAGAGGCACGGAAGACAAGCTACAAGGGTCGAGCAGTCTAAACTCCATCGTTTCGACGGCCCGTCCTCAAGTAATAGCTGCCGATTCAACCACCCTGTTCTCTATAAGTCACCAGAGATACAACTAGAGTAAGCTAAGGCTTTCTCAGCGGATCCTCCCACTTGTCATCATATACAATTTGCCAATTGCCATCCACTTTTCAATCCATGATAGCTGTGCCATCTCTCTCATCTGAAGTACTAATAGCACTCTAGAGCCCTCAATCCTTCAAAGATGACACATCTCTTAGACTTCTCTCCCCTTCAACTGCAGTCAGTATGGGTCCTGTATACACCTTGAATAATGGTGCCAAAGGCGTCGAGGAGAATCGACTTGACACCCAACATAACCTATTCAGAGTCGTCACGGGAGGACTGTTGCCAGATCATGTCCGTGAACACTTAGAGAGCAAAGGTTCATCCGTCTCTATTGCCGATTTCGCCACCGGCACAGGCATCTGGCTGAAAGATCTAGCCCCGACTTTACCACCTACAGCAAAGCTTGACGGCTTTGATTTCGACCCCTCAAAATTCCCAGAGCAATCGACCTTGCCTCCCAACGTGTCTCTCCAATTTGGTGATGTTTTACAACCCGTGGCCCCGGAGCTACACGGGCGGTACGATCTTGTGCATGTGCGTCTCCTGTTGTACGCATTGAAGGTAGACCAGTGGCAATCTGTGGCTAGCAACCTGTCGAAACTTCTCGCACCTGGTGGCTGGCTGTTCTGGGATGAACTTAGCTTCACCAGCTGGCAATGCTTGCCAATGACCAAGAACTTCCTCGACTGGATCAGTGCTGAGACTCGATATGCTCTATCCGTTGACAGAGACCCGAAGTAAGTCCATTTATTTTGTCTCGATACCCGTATAGTCATCGATAGATACACTGCTCTCAGAATTTCGCCGAAATTTTCCTCTTTTGTGGTCGCCATGAACGTCACCCATAGACTATGCAAGAAGACTAAACGGTTAATAGTGCTGGCATAAACTTGTTAAGGTATATCAAGAATGCCGGATACGTCAATTGCACACAGCAGGCGTTTAGCACCTACGCTGGGGATGCCGATGTGCGGCGTACCGCTGGCATACTCCTCCTTGCTGCTGGTAGCCAGTCAATGCATGGTATTGTCGAAAAAGGAGGCTTTGATTACGTGAAAACGCACGAGGACGCTTCCCGCATTGTAGATGCAGTCGTCTCAGACATTGAAAGTGGACTTTGCGAGGTTGGATTTGAGCATTACTGGGTCATGGCACAGAAAGCCTAAGATCGATCCTTCTTCATGAAGATACCATGGGGGTCTTGGTTCGGTTGAATTTGGAGCACTGAGACAAAACTTGAAGTATGCAGTCAGTGGGGGTTTTATCAGGGCATGTCAGCTAAGATGGACGTCATATATGCAATATCATAACATGGCTTTTCTATCTCGGACATTTCCCGTGGTCGATAAACATTGAGTCTTACCCATACAACTATATTACCATCGCCATCACGCAAGATTTCAATACAATATTCTTCACTGAGGGCCACTAGGGATCGGGGAATAAGGTCATGTCCCAAGCGATTCGCGCCTCATAGAGGAAGGCCGGACAATGTGGCCTGCATTGTCGGTTTCACACAAGACATGAACTCGCTATCGCTTTGAGAGGCTAGGGTCATTTTGCGATTAGTTAGGGACTTTTACACTGAGTGTCTGAACTCTTTTCAACTCAATTAAGAGTTAAGTTACTTGGGGGTAGAGGGCGAAGCTATGGGGGCCATAACTAGTCCCAAGTCTCACACTTGGGTATTTTTGGCATTAAACTTGCAACTCTCGTCTAGTCGGCCTGCTTTCAGTACATCGCTAGAAGCTGGGGGTGTATTCGCAAAGTGTGTGTGTCTCAACTTTATAAGGATAGTCATGCCTCTCTAAGATAGCGTGATTCTACAGCCACAGGGCAGCTATTTCGAGTGCCTTCCTTGCCTCCTATGTGGAAGCTAGCGCAGCTACAGAGAGCGGCCACGGTATTTCGAGAAGCAATGTTCTCAATATAGCAGGTCAAGTTCTGTAAGTCCAGATTTCCATGGCGTTGGACTTTTACAAAGAAAATATCAACATATCTTACGGTGGTGGAAGAGGCAGTGCCTTGTATCGTCCGACGTATAAGGTTCTGAGAGACATCTACTCCTCACAACACGATACTGTCATTCACAAAGACACCACTATCATTCCTTTCTATCAGTTCATTGTTTCAGAGAAAAACCGGGCTACTATCAACAAAGCATTGGAAGATCCAAACTATGCCTTCCAGCGCGACCCTTGTAAGCACAGCTCCTGAAAGCTGAGTATATCTACTCTAATGTTACCAAATGCAGATTTCAGCCATACTAGACTTTAATCTACCAGCTGTTCTGGCCGCCAACTGTGCCAACCTTCCCAGCTTACAAAGGCAGCGAAAGTCTAGGATGAAATTATGATTATCAGGTTCAGGCAGTGTACCATACTCACGAAAAGGTCCACTGTTATTGACAAAAAGGTTCGGGCCTGAACGGGCAATACAAAGATACACTGAATACCTATGAATTTCTTGGTTACTCGTAGAGAATAACACCACTGGGACGAGGAATGAGACATGCTCTTCAAATTTTTGCGCGTGACATGAATAGTGCAATTGTCTCCGCAATTCCCTTCAACATGTCATAGATCTATGTGAGATTCAAAAAGACCGAGAGCAAACCTTGGGGAGATTGAGTGAGGATCCCATGACCTTCCGCACTTTGAGATCGACGAATAGAGATCATTCGCATGCAGCTACCTGAGCAGGCATCAAGCCACGCTGTGCCAAGCGCAGAAGAATGCAGTTCACTGGTCTACATAGCGAAATAACTCACCGAACTTGCAGAAAAGTTAGAAAAGAAAGCGTTTGCGGCATACGAATGCGCCTGATCTTGGTTCCGGCTGCAAGATCAAGCCCATCGACCTACAAGGATTCAACAACCGGAGCCTGCCTCATTATTTTCTTTTTCCACCTGCATCTAAGAAATAAGTCCACTACTCCCAAAATATTGACGAATCATACTACTATGCTGGCTGAATAGTCGCAGCTAAAACCCTGCTATTGGGCAAACGAATCTGCTGTTGATTTGATGGTTGACCGATCGAAAGAAGCTGGCTCGTATCATGACCTCAATAGATCGATGTGCATAAGAATTGTATATGAAGCTATCTACTTCTCGATAGGCAGAAAGCTCTGATAGGCTTGGACACCGTATCTGTTATGCTGTTCTTGCCCATGCGAAAACTCGGTGTGTAGCACAGGAAGCTCTGCCTCAAGTCATAGTTGTAAAGCCCAAGTAACAGAGACGTGACCACCATAACCCTTCAATCTATTTCAATTCCCTCTTCTTGCATCCTGGAGACTTTTGTTTTCTCGCTCCCACTGAAAGTGCAAGGTATTCCTGGCTGAATTCATGCATTTCCATTATGACTGGATCATACAATCTGAACACAAATCTTGCAGAAGACCTTCGTGGTCAGATACTGCGCGTTCCTAACATGTTACAATTGTTTCCTTCGTGGCCGCATGGGGAGCGAAATACTCACTGCGACCAGTTGCGCAATGCGGTGGATAGCTGGCTGGAGAAGTATGTCCCCGTACCTACTTACACGATGTTCCGGTGTCACAATTATTGACATCTACTCCCCTATAGGGTGATACCGGACGCCAAACGTTGCCATCAGTTCAAACGGGGCGACTTCGGGCTTTTTTGCTCCATGTAAACACCTACAATGTCTCACTATACTCGCCATCTAGCTGACGGAATGCATGATAGTTGGTGGCCAGAGGCTCTTTGGGACGATCTGTATCTCGCCGCTCTTTTCGCGACTTGGGCTTTTGTCTGGGACGACACCATTGATACAAATGAGCATATACTCTCAGATGATCTCGAAAAGGCTTGCGCGTTCCGGAAAGAATCGCTCACTTATGTCAATTACTGTCTTAGGCTCGTTGACGAAGAGTTAGAAGAACCACCGTTGCCTGATCCTGCAAGCGCTCTCTTCAAGCAGTTCGCGGACGGCTATTGCCAAAGGGTCGGGAAAGGCAAGCAGAACATCTTGAGGCATTCAAAATACTATGCTTACATAGATATTAGGGAACCGCCAGAGATTTTTTGATGCGATTCAAAGCTTTTTTAAGCATTCAGAGAAGGAGCAAGTGGAGCGGCTCCATGGAAGTGTCCCAAGCTACGAAAGCTATATGGATATTCGTCACGGCGTGACTGCAGTCGACATATTTGTTCTGCTTCTTGAGTGAGTTACCCGATTGTAATAGAGGATTGCTGATTCATATGACGACCATTACCAACAGAATTCCACTCCGAACACAATTACCAGAATGGATCAAGAGCACAGACGAAATGAGGGGCATCTGGAAAGAGTGCAACTTTTGTATAATAATGTAAGAAGTGAGCTGTAATAGTCGAGAAGTAGAACAGGTGGCTGACTACTATGCAGTATCAACGATATCTTGTCGCTTAGGAAGGAGATTGTAATTCCCCCAAACTTTTGTTGGGCAAGCAGTCTGCGTCGCTAACAGTATTGCTATCTACAGGCTACAGACTGCTTCATCAATTCTGTACCTGTACTCTATCATTCGGGGTTATCCCTTAGCCAAGCCATCACTCAGTTAGTATCTGAGATGGAAGCATCCAGAGATCGGCTCGATCTGCTCTCTGCGAGAATTAGTAATATGACAAACGACGATCCCCAACTTCACAAGCAGGTGATGCGGTATATTGATGGCTGTCGACGGATGGACACCGGGACCATTGAATACACGTAAGCGTATGCAGTATATGATGCAACTCTTCACATCTAAATCGAAACAGGACGCTTGTTAAAAGGTATGATATTCTCAAATATGTTCGAGAGGACGGGGGACTGGACATTGTGCTCTAGACTGCAATGGAGCAGGAATTGGACTGCAAATGGAGAGAAGTGGATTATCGGGCTGACCAGCTTGAGCCCCCACGGCGGCATGACAGATGGTTGGGGCGGGACAAACGGATTATCTGGAATAAGCTTATTTATAAAGTTATGAGCTGTGACGGCTGACCTCGGTTCAACGCGTCCCAAGTAATTTAGCCATGCAGCTGCCGTGCGGCTCCCGTGTGTTCAGATCCTTGAGAGCGATGCACATCAGAGCATTGAGCGACATCGCTCTTTCCAAGCCTCTATGATCGGCAGTTTGCCATTCAATGTGTCGATCGCCAGTTGTGAAAATTGCGCCTCAGCGAGCGCTGAAGCGCCGCCTGTCTTGGCGAGGTTGCCCGCGGCGAATGAGGCCATTGCATGAAACACGCTGCGCCGCCAACCCTACAAGCGCGAGGCGAAATTATGTTGGTGAGCTTGGTGAGGGTAGCAGATCCTTCAGCTAGACTAATTTCTCGGTCGTGCAGCGCCGCGGCGCCACGACCCCTATCTTGCCGTCTCACAAAACAACCCTCCTGAGGGACACACCATTTCTCGCAAATCGAGGGATGCAATGCTGACAACTCGATTTCCGTTTCTTCGAGAATGAATCAGCCTTTCAGATTGTCATAGTTGCAGTTGTGATCATCGGGATCCGGACAAGTCACCATCCATCAGGCCCATCGAGCCAGCGAGGTGATCGAGACAGGACAAGACATTACTTAGTGGTGACACCGAACCTGGAAGTTGCACATGCTAGTCCAAGGCATCACACTGCACCTGAAATAGCAAATTTACGATCTAATGTGGAGAAACTCGCTAAATAAAGGCCAAGGAGGCTGCCTTTGTAGTAGGGCTGTGCGACCCAGGTCTTGGCTGTTGATGACCGTCCGTACCATGACGAATTAGCGTTCTTCTACCCTGCTGGCCAGGGGCCCATAAAGCTAGATGTTCTCGCCCGACATTTCAGCCAGAAGGCGCATCAGACACATTTGGGCTTCTTTACCTCGATTAATTTCTGTGAACCACCTCTCTCTCCTCACACTTCGAACTGTGCAAGTCCTTCCTTCATTGCCAAAGGTTGACGATCCGACTGGAACATCAACATGGGATCGCATCATGTCGTCGGCGACTCGCCGTTTATGAAGCGGGTCCTGATTCCGTTCTGGGTCATCAGGATTCTGATTATGCTCTTCGAGATTGGAATGTATGGCCTTGCAATCGGTGTGATTGCCGCCTACTCGGACGACATCGAGGACCAGCTAGAGGAGCATTACAATGCCAGCACCAGCGTCACAGCCGCCATTGCCATATTAGTGGTCATTCTGCTCATCATTGTGGCATGCCTCGTCCTCGACATTGTCTGCATCGTTAAGCGTGCAAGACGAACACTGAGCCCGCGCTTCTTCCTCATCACCAACGTCGTTCAGACAACGATTTGGACAATCATGTTCATTCTGTCCATGATTGGCGCCAGAACCGGGCTTACCATTGCGATTGCTATCATCATCTAGTAAGCGACGACCCAGCATGATCTCGTCCCCGAAAGCTAACCACTCTTGCCCATCAGCCTGTCCTTTGTTGGCGTCCTGATCTACGCTAGCGTCATCTTCCACAGACACCGCAAAGGAACTCTTCGCGGAACTTACGTGCCTGCAAACAATCCGTCTGAGCAATACAATCTCGCGCAAAATACCGGTTACCCAGCTGCCACCACCTACGCAGCAGAAACCGGCTATCCATCCAATACGGGCTACCCGTCCAATGCTGGATATCCGCAATACGCCCCTGCCCCTTATGGCGCACAACCCACGCAAACACCTGCTTATTACGATCCCCAGGCCACTAAACCTCAGCAATGGCACTCTTGAGACGATGACGCATGCATTAGATATACCTGTCGGACTTTGACCGATAATGGACTCGTTGGAGTATGCGCGGAAGTTCCCCGTGGCTATAGCAGATATATTGCTACATATCCAAGTCTATTCTACAACAGGCCACAGAGGCGATGCGCTTTTCCGCCTTGTTTAGAACGGCATGTCTGACGAGTGATGGGAATGAAACTGTTGACGACACCACAGATGATTCGCTGGCGGGAGGTCATAATTTCATCACAAAGCCGGCATACCGCACTTATACGACAGTGTTCCGACGGCAGAATGCGCGACTCATTAAAAGATGTCCTCCTTTACACTTCCCTGGGGTATTGACAGTGGAAGTTTGGCCAATGTTACATCCAGCAACAGGCGCAAACCGGTATGGCACATAAAGCACCAAGAACGCTTCTGAAGAAAATAGAATAGACTCGAATGGTGATCATTTTCGTATTTTAGCCGCAATATAAATCCTGAGCCAGGTCCAGGGCGATGACAGTCAATCTTCGATTGTATTACACTCACGTTCCCGGTGCATTCCCGTATTGTCTTTCCAACACGCATTGTTCTGCCAATTTGCACTTTTTGCCATGGGCAAGATTGGTGCTTGGTTTCAGAGCGGCCAATCACTGTAGACTCTGAGCTTGGCCACCTGTCTTTCAGAGCTATGCATGCGGGCCATCGACAGCAACACCTGCGCTACTAACAAGAACTGGATCAGTGTCCAGTTTCCCGGAAGCGGTATCGTCATCGCCTTTGGAGGCATCGATTGGTCGTTCTGGAACAAGAAATACGGCCCAGGACGTAGCAGGTATGGTGATGCAGAACATCACGAAAGCAATGATCAAATTGACCATTGGCGCCACCTGAGCAGCGCCAATCCCGAACGAGAGACATGATCCCACAGACTCAAAAGACCGAACGATCCCAACCGCCAAGGTTAATGTTTCGAGATCGTCGTAAAACGTTCCGATAATCCAGTAAACAAACATATAATGAGATTCGTTCATGAACCTTTCTCTGCAATTAGCATGCATTTTGACGGGTGGATCGTGAAGCTTACCTCATCAAAACCATGACTGCAAATCCTCTACCGAACCCTGGATTTGCCCAATCAAGTGTGACCTTTGGATTGCTACCAGAGTACAGCTTCTCATTTGCGAACTGCCAGCCAAATAATGCGGTCATGAACACAGCAAAGAATGCCCACGTGAATCGTGCCAGGGTGGGCCGTCTCAGAAAGGGGCGGTCGAAGAACCATCCCCAGAAAATATTGGCGACCGTCGCAACAACACCGGAAGTCAACGAGCCGAGGGTTCTTGCTCGAACGGAGAAATATTTGGTCAAGTATATGCCAAGATACGTTCCGTTCCAATTAAAACCGGTAAGGATGGGGATGAGAAGATACATCTGCTTTTTCTTCAACAAATTCCATAGCTTGCGAAACTCTGCCAGTACCGCTTTGTTCTGCGTCGGGTCAGGAATCTTCCTTCCATCTCGTCGGATGATCTTCTCCGGTGATGAAATGAGTAATGCTAGCGGTAAGCCAAGGCACTGGAGGCCGATCAACACTAGATATGTTGTGTACGAGACTTTGCCGCGACTTCCATTATTCACATTCAAAGACAATTGGATAGATGCACCAATTAGCTGGCCGAGCTCGCGAAGCCCAAGCCAAATACCCGCTGTGACATTTGGTCAGCCTAGTGACTTTGACGGACATGTCAGTAACTTACTGAACTTTCCACGATCCTTTACATCGCCGTATCCGAGTGCGATGGCACCCTCGGAGGCCCAGAGTGCAGATGCTGCGATGCCGCAAGTGGCACCACCGAAGAGAACAAACCACTCAACGCCATATCGATTGTTGACGTAAAGTGAAGCCGAGTAAGGGGCATAACCCAAAGTACCAAGAATTAACACCTTCTTGATACCGAACTTGTTTGCGAGAATAGAGAATATTGAGCACCCAAACACCATGATCCTACGATGGGTCAGAAACATACAGCTGGGGTTGATGAATTTCGTACCCGAAAGTGAGTGAATTAGAACCATTAACAAGGTAAGGCTCTTGTTGACCGCCGGCTCCCGTACCTGTCATGATATTAGTCGACGTGATGTCTCGATGTCCTTTTCGGTTGACATACTGTTGAGCGCATTCCATATTCCTGGTTGCGTGAATGAAATCAACCCTACAAGGATGACATTGAATAGCGGACTTCGATACCACCTTACTGCTCGTGATACCGGCTTCGTATGGACTGTTTCTTCCACCGCTCCGTCTTCCAAGGCATTATCCTGTTTGTCTGACATTATTTGCTGAACACTTCTTCTCTCACTAGTGTGTTTGGCAGACACGCCCCGTAATGATTTTCTGTGAGGATAGTCATGCACTTTTATCTTCTCGAATCTAACCCCTGACCTTCCAAGAGCTGCATCTTGAGAGTCATGGAACCAATCTTAGCTTCGGAAGTGATCTAGACCGGCAGTTGGGCCGACGATAGGATGGAGAGGAGTGGACATGATTGTCTTGGCACCATGTTGTGACATATAATTAATATGATACCATCCCGAGAGACTGGCAACATGCCATAGTTGGTTTAGATCTACGCAGAAATTGCCTTTGTGTCCAGGTGTGGTCTGTTTCGTCCTGTTACAGCGAGGGCAATTCCGTGGTGAAGAAAAGGCTCATCGGTCGTGCTTCCGGGGTCCGATGGCGCCATACGGAAGTTGGGCGGGGACTCGATACTAGGTAACGGCTTCAACCAGCTCCCGGGCTGAGAGTGGCCCTAGAGAAGCCTAATCTGACAGCACATCGTACGTGTAAACCAGGATCAATCTGCTAAATTATCAGGAAAACATAAATTCAACTTCTCGTCTTCGACAATCCAGACTCAATTGAAAAATCAAAAATAACCCAAAAAAGGGCGAAAATTTCGAGTCATGGCTGCCACTACATTTCGTATCGGGCCGTACGAGCCCACTATCAAATTGCCATTACAGAACGGAGACACAAATTTTCCTCTATCCCTAGTTCCCACCGACCCTCAAGCCCAGACAGATGACATAGTAGCTGCAGCTAGAGATCTTGCAGTTACTGATCAAATTCGAACTCTTCTTGATAATCACGGGGCTATTTATTTCCAAAATCTGCGGCTTAAAGATGCCCACGAATTCTCAAAATTTGCCCATGCATTCGGTTGGACTCCTCACGAAGATATTGGTAACCCCGTTCGAAGGACAGTTTTAGCTAAAAATGTGGCAACGGCTAATGAAGGGCCAAATACTCAGCCGGTCTACCCCCACAACGAATTTGGCCTTAGCCCACATTATCCGGCATATGTCCTCTTCTATTGTGTCTCGGCTCCAGAAACCGGTGTGTTATGATGCCCTCACTCAAAATGATATGTTGTGTCTCTAAATTGTCTTGGACTCTCAGGAGGTGAAACACCAATCAACCACTCTGTTCTTTTATACAATAGATTGAAGAAAAAACACCCTGAGTTCATTGAGGAGCTAGAGAAGAAGGTCAGTGGCTATGACTCGTAGTCACCTAGGAATTACCCGGTCATCTAATATGAATCACGATAGGGGGTGAAATATCAGCTGTTTTATCCTAATGGGCCGCGCGACCAGACTGAGTCCGCGGGGACAACTCTCCTTCAGTCATATGGCCTTCACGTCCTCTACACAGATGACACGAAGACAGCGAGACACAAAATCGAGAAAGAAGTCCGACGGCTGCCAACAGCAACTTGGATCTGGGAAAATGCAACGGAAGAGAATCCTCTTGGGGATCTGAGAGTTTGGCAGCACCTACCAGGTACGTCGACCGTGATCTCCCAATCTTCCTCAAGACGAATTTGAGGCCCTGACATGATTAGCAATACGCAAACACCCACGAACGGGACAGCTAGCCTTTTTCAACAACGTCGTTTCCAGGTTCTTAAACGCTGTTAAGAACGATACCCTTGAGCCACCACACATCACTACCGAGGGAAAATTTCAGCCGCCTGCCTTTGTCAGTACAGTCTACTCATCATAGTGATCTAGTCATTCTGACCCAGAACAATAAGTACGGAGATGGATCATTAATTCCAAGATGCTACCTTGAGTCAGCTGTGGACATTATTAAGTACGGATCGATTATAATCCAGTAAGATTGATTATCGGGAAGACTAACATAGGAATCTCAGCGAGACAAGGAGCCTGGTCTCATGGACTGCTAGAGATGTGCTCTTGCTCGACGTAAGTTGGTCTTCCCAGGTACATCTTGCCTCTTAGCTAAGTCAAAAAGAATCATGCAGTACAACATACCAGAGAGCCTTGGACGGGGTAAGCATCAACGCTGCTAAACCTCAAATTGCAGTTTCCAAGACTAACTGTGGTTAGCCCGAGAAAGCTGCTCGCTAGCTTGTGGGATGAATCAATTCATACCTGATCGTTCATAGAATGGCAGTCGTGGTTCCTGAGAAACGGCAAATACCCTCCAGGCAACCCTGAAGATATGCCCAATACGGTGTTGTCGACATTTGGAATAATTCCTGAGGGTCACACTGATGCTGCTTATTTAGTGGCTTTCAGCGAGGCTCGAAAGAACCTTGGAAGCACACAACCAGGGCGAAGGTGGCAGGCACTCCGTGTGTAGCCTCGTCACTTATTGGCGCCAAATGAAAGAGCGAAATTATGTATGCCACCCATTCAAAGACACCTTTTGCTTCGTCTGCACAAGAAGGGTTGGGGGCCAATGCGAGGTTCCATAGTGCCACGCTGCCAGATGTTGATCAATCAGTTTTCTTGACCGGGTTGCTTGCATTAGCGTTGGTCAATAGTCTCATTTTTATTGGAAAGCTGAGTGTTCAGGTGGCGGTCAATTTAATAAGTACCGCGACAGGCCTTGCACTTAATCTTGGCTTTTTTGAGCCTCAACGCGTTCTCTTGATGATAGATTCTGCATGTCGGGTGCGATTGCCAGCGATCTTTTTTAAACTCGATCATAAGAGCTCATACGTTTACGCCGAGCTTGAGAGTGACGGGTGTGACCATGTCGGAACATTCGAACCTGTCTGACAAGGTGGCCATTGCCGCCCTTGTTGTAGCCGCGGTCGCGTTCGTCACGACTGTGGTGCAACTTGCTCAAGCTATCACAGCTGCAGCCCGCGGCCTCCCAAATTGCGACAAAAGAGTTATGGGGGAATGGGCGAAGTGGACTTCCATCAAGTTTAAACTCTCACAACTGAGACTAGAGGTGGATTTCGAGGCTCCAGTCATATTTCTAGCTCCAACAAATAATAAGAATGGACCTGTCAAAGACAATCCAGTCATTTGGTATGCTGATGGCTCCCCCAAGAGCTGTGAATTAACACGCGTTGCCCAACCACCGAGTGATGACGTGGACGACATCGTCTTTCAGCAAGGCAGGGAGCGTGTTCACACCGTTGACAATGAGTTGGCTACCTGGGTCACTCTTCTAGGGGCCATCCAGAGGATGGAAAGAGATTCAAAAAATTGGGAGCTAACGAAATGGAGGGACGCGAATGAGATACGACCTACACCACCCGTGGTGACAACATTAGCCGTTGGCATTCAAGCAAAGAAGAGGAGCTTCGATACAAACCCGACTGTTAAGAAGCCGTATGCGACCTCCAACATCTGCCACTTAGTCGAATTGGCGGCTGTGTTAGGTGTCTACTGGAAAGAGTTCGACCGTGATGAGAACAAGTATCGCGCCGAAGGCAATGGATACAGCCTACTAGGAACGCGCCTGGAGGATTTTGGCATCGTGTTTGTGTTCGAAAAGACTGGGTGGGCTAGATTCAAAGAAAACAGGATCATCCCAGCATCAGAGGTCAAGGAACTCTGTTTTGGAAACGCACCTACATTCTACCGACACCCGAAGGACGACGAGCGATGGAAGATACCGTTTAGTCCCCAGAAAACTCTCAAGACCTTGCAATTTGGCAGCCGTAAGGAGATCGCAGATACTCTCAACTTAATTGGGTGCAACACCAACACCTCCCTTTATTATATCAGAGAAAAGAGACATATACACCTGTTTCCTGGTACGTCCAATCTCTGCATTCTATCGTCACGCGGATAAATAACAGCCGTGGGTAGTGACGTTTGAGATTCTTGGTATGCTTGGGAGGACGATTCATGTGAAAAATAGATGCTTCACATATCTCCCCAATCCGACGATATTCCCATGGAACCGGGGATCCTTTTCTGTCCGACGTATGCTTGGGGCCTTCCATGAACAGCTGGGAAAGCTTATCAAGGACTTCAACAACACACCCCATAGTCAACAACTTCCAGCTGAGCTCGAGCATATCAACGCTCTTGCGCGTAATCTAAACTCTGACCTGCCACCTCTGGATGAAGACTTCAGCCCGCAGCATCTGAATCTTCTTCACGAATCCCTGGACGAGATCGACGGTATCCTCGCAGAGACAAAGATTGATAAAGACGTGGTTCTCGATGTCCTCCGTCGACACTTACAAGAACTATTACTTGCTATCAATACCACAGCAGAAACCCAGCCACCAAGCACACCGATTGCAAGAGCCGATATATCATTTGATGAGCTACTTAGCGTGCCACCAGAAAACAGAGAGAAGAAGTTCATGGAAAAATATTTCAATGAAATCAGACCACGAGTTGTAGACACCAATTTCAGGGATCATCATGACCCAGACGCGGCGCAAGCTTCTCGAGTAATCCATAACAACAGTAACCAGCAAGGAAGTGGACAACATCAAGGACCGGATCAACCCACAAGTAATGATCCAAGCCAGACTCCAAGCTCGTCATCGACGTCTTCGCCATCTCCACCATCTATTCCTCATCCTGTCGATACATCGATAGGGACAAGGGTCGCTCAAGGTGATCGAGTGAGAGCGCTCGCTATAGACATGAAGAGGACAAATACTTGGAGCGAGTTCGTCAAGGATGCTTTTGAGCTGCGCCGAAATAATATCTGG